ATGGATGGATGGATGGATGGATGGATGGATGATGGATGATGGATGATGGATGGATGGATGGATGGATGGATGATGGATGATGGATGATTGATGGATAGATGATGGATGGATAGATAGATAGATGGATGGATGGATAGATAGATCGATGGATGGATGGATGGATTGATGGATGGATAGATGATAGATAGATAGATAGATAGATAGATAGATAGATAGATAGATAGATAGATAGATAGATAGATAGATAGATAGATAGATAGATAGATAGATAGATAGATAGATAGATAGATAGATAGATAGATAGATAGATAGATAGATAGATAGATAGATAGATAGATAGATAGATAGATAGATAGATAGATAGATAGATAGATAGATAGATAGATAGATAGATAGATAGATAGATAGATAGATAGATAGATAGATAGATAGATAGATAGATAGATAGATAGATAGATAGATAGATAGATAGATAGATAGATAGATAGATAGATAGATAGATAGATAGATAGATAGATAGATAGATAGATAGATAGATAGATAGATAGATAGATAGATAGATAGATAGATAGATAGATAGATAGATAGATAGATAGATAGATAGATAGATAGATAGATAGATAGATAGATAGATAGATAGATAGATAGATAGATAGATAGATAGATAGATAGATAGATAGATAGATAGATAGATAGATAGATAGATAGATAGATAGATAGATAGATAGATAGATAGATAGATAGATAGATAGATAGATAGATAGATAGATAGATAGATAGATAGATAGATAGATAGATAGATAGATAGATAGATAGATAGATAGATAGATAGATAGATAGATAGATAGATAGATAGATAGATAGATAGATAGATAGATAGATAGATAGATAGATAGATAGATAGATAGATAGATAGATAGATAGATAGATAGATAGATAGATAGATAGATAGATAGATAGATAGATAGATAGATAGATAGATAGATAGATAGATAGATAGATAGATAGATAGATAGATAGATAGATAGATAGATAGATAGATAGATAGATAGATAGATAGATAGATAGATAGATAGATAGATAGATAGATAGATAGATAGATAGATAGATAGATAGATAGATAGATAGATAGATAGATAGATAGATAGATAGATAGATAGATAGATAGATAGATAGATAGATAGATAGATAGATAGATAGATAGATAGATAGATAGATAGATAGATAGATAGATAGATAGATAGATAGATAGATAGATAGATAGATAGATAGATAGATAGATAGATAGATAGATAGATAGATAGATAGATAGATAGATAGATAGATAGATAGATAGATAGATAGATAGATAGATAGATAGATAGATAGATAGATAGATAGATAGATAGATAGATAGATAGATAGATAGATAGATAGATAGATAGATAGATAGATAGATAGATAGATAGATAGATAGATAGATAGATAGATAGATAGATAGATAGATAGATAGATAGATAGATAGATAGATAGATAGATAGATAGATAGATAGATAGATAGATAGATAGATAGATAGATAGATAGATAGATAGATAGATAGATAGATAGATAGATAGATAGATAGATAGATAGATAGATAGATAGATAGATAGATAGATAGATAGATAGATAGATAGATAGATAGATAGATAGATAGATAGATAGATAGATAGATAGATAGATAGATAGATAGATAGATAGATAGATAGATAGATAGATAGATAGATAGATAGATAGATAGATAGATAGATAGATAGATAGATAGATAGATAGATAGATAGATAGATAGATAGATAGATAGATAGATAGATAGATAGATAGATAGATAGATAGATAGATAGATAGATAGATAGATAGATAGATAGATAGATAGATAGATAGATAGATAGATAGATAGATAGACAGTGCCTCTATCTCCTGTATCTGTTCCTGGTTGGTGATGCACATCTGTTGGAGAGTCTCTTCTAAGTCTCGGTTCTGCTCCAGTAAATTTTTACCCAATTCGGCGGCCAAATGAAGATCTGCAGAAGAAGACGAGGAGAACATCTAATGAGCAACCAAAACTGAAGGCAAAAAACACTCAATTAAAATTAGTCTGGACCACTTTAATTGACTTTTTTTTATTTATGCATACAAGCAGTGTTGGGGGTAACGCATTACAAGTAACACGAGTTACCTAATCAGATTACTTTTTTCAAGTATCTAGTAAAGTAACGCATTACTTTTTAATTTACAAGAGAATATCTGAGTTACTTTCTCAAATAAGTAACGCAGGTTACTTTTTTTCCAATTTATTGACTGCCAGCTCTCCTGTCCCCATGCTGAGAGAAATCAGATGTTACTGTAG